GACGTATTTGTTGCGGCGCCCGCGTCTTAGAGCACTTCATGATTTGCAGCGATCGCACGCGTTATCGGAGCTCTCTAGCGAGGACAATATCAATATAAAACATGTTTGTATTGTCTAATGACAAAATAGCTGTGAAAGTGATGTATTATACATTTTGTAGTAGGTATTTTTACATAAGTATTGTGGGTACAATACTTCTCTCGCCTTGGCTTCGCACGGGTGTGCGAAGCCAAGGCGGGTCGCTGGTTATCCTATATGTTAATGACTAGCCTGTGCAAGTTCGTCCCACTTGGCCTGTTTTGCTGATGATACAGCGTCTTATACTTCAGATAGCGACGTTGACATTATCATTAGCCGACTTCAGATGTCTCTTGAATTACTCCAGTCTTACTTCAATAAATGGAAGCTCAAGTTGAATGAATCCAAAACTGAAGCCATTCTTTTTACACGTCAACGTAACATCCGTAAAAGGACAATAAATATTTCTGGTCAGTCCATTCCTTGGACTGCAGCAGTTCGCTACCTGGGTATCACGCTGGATAAAAGGTTAAACTGGACTATACACAGCAAAATTACATGTCAAGGGAGCACAAGCACTAGGTTCCCTAAGCCCTAAGCCTCAACCGTAAGAGCAGACTCAGCCCTAAGACAAAAATTAGACTATACACAACCATAATTAGACCTTGCATCACCTATTCATGTCCAGTATGGAGCAATACTTGTGAATCAAATTATAAAAATTTACAGATTCTACAAAATATAGCTGTTAAAATCGCGTATAATACTCCATTTTTGCTAATCTGAAAATACTTCAGTCGAAAATTAATTTACCAAACATCACATAATATATTTTAAAATTAACTCGCAAATTTTACAGTAAAAATAAATGTCACCATAATACTTTGGTTGCCGGCATAGGGCGAAAAGATTTGAATGATTTGCGTGGTATCGACAGATATGGTACATACAAGCTCCCACATCACTACGTTTTGTTCGCACACAAAATCGCACACGAAATCATACAAAAATGAAAGCATTTTCAACCACAGACCCCTTTCGCTTCTATCCATTTTTGCTAAGGTCTTTGAACCCATGATATCTTGTCATGTTCAGCGCCACTTTGGCCTTTATATTAGCGATCACCAACACGGCTGTCTCCAGGTCCACAACAACAAACTTGTTGGCTTTTACGGATCTCTTGGTGCAATGTATGGACTCTCACAAGCAGTGTGACGTTATATACACCGATTTTAGTAAAGCGTTCGACAGGATCTCGCATGCATCAATATGTGATGATAAGCTGTCGTTGTATGGTATTGCCGGATTTTTGTTGAAATGGCTTGAATAGTATCTAACTGAACGTGAATTCTGTTGTTGTTAATGGTTTCCGATCCGAGACATTCCCTATAACATCCGGAGCTCCTCAGGGTTCCCATCTAGCCCCAGTACTATTTTCATTAACGATCTCCCTTATTGCCTTCAGTATTCGACTTGTTTTCTTTACGCTGACAGTTTAAAATTTGCGAGATGTATCGGATCATCGCTCGATGTTAGGCACCTACAGGAGGATCTGAACAAGTTACATGAATGGTGTACATGCAATCGGATGTAGCTAAATATTAAAAAATGCTTTTACATCAGCTTTTTTAGAAAGCTGATTCTTATATGTTCAGAATATGTAGTGGATAATAAGGAGATTAAGAGCGCTTTCACATTTATGCGACTATAGCAGAGCGACAGTCGCGCTCCCAGAATTTCATAGTTTGAACAGAAGCGCATCAGTCGCGCGCTGTCGCCGCAACCGCCGCGTGCGCTCAGTCGGCGATGAGCCAGTGTTGCAAACGTACGTAATCATAGACTATACAATGAGCGAGTTTGATACCGAACGATTGAAATTCAAATGCGTCCTGTTTTGTGGGACCCAAGAAGCAACAATTACAACAACAGGACCCTAAAAAAATTATTGGCAAGAATAATATGCATTGTTTATTCCTGATAACGTACATCCAGTGCCCAAATATGTGAACAATATTTTTTTTTATTTCAACTGATTTACAAAAAAGATGGAAAAGTATTAAGGATTGCTATTCGCGAGAATTGAAAAAAAAAAACCGAGAAGTGGTCCATTTTAGAAATGAAGCACGCCACACTGAACTTAGCAGCGGCGCTGCTAACGCGCAGCAGTTCTTACAATGTGAAGGAAAGCGCTTCTGCCGCGCTACTGTCGCGCTGATGTGAAACGTCGAACGTCCTAATGTGAAAGCACTCTAATAGGGTGGAAAGCGCCAGAGATCTGGGAGTCCTGTTCGATGATAAACTGACATTTATTCCTCACATCGAAAAAATTACTACAAAGGCTTTAGGGTTTGTTATAAGAAATACGAGTTTTAAACAGAGTCGCACTAAAATAATGCTGTACAATGGTTTGGTTCGGAGTATCTTGGAGTACTGCAGCGTGGTTTGGAGGCCACACTACACTACACATATTATGTTGCGCTTAGAAAGAGTCGAAAAACGTTTTCTATGGCATCTAGCATTTTCAAAATGCAAAGCTAAATGCCTTCCCTCATACATCTCACGATTGCAATGTTTCGGGATGCTACCACTGTCAACCAGAGTGAAAGTTACAGATGCTATTTATGTGTATAAATTAATCAGGAATATAACTAATTGCCCCATTTAATTGGGTCATTTGGATTCCGTGCGCCTTCCAGATACCCACGTGGTCACATAACACCCCTCGTCCTCCACTACGCAGAACAGTTCTTGGTGCAAACTCAACCATTACCAGATTAGCGAACGTCATAAACAATTGCAGTGACGTGATAGATATACACCACGACCGCCTTGGTAGTTTTCGTAAATCAATTATTACATTATGCTCTCCCGGGTTCGTTTAAAAATAATTATAATTGTCTAATAATAATACAATTTTACAATATTATATCAATAATTTAATAATATCTAAAATAATCACAAGTATTCTCAATTAAGTGTTCAATTGTTTCAGGTGCCTAATTACATTAGCTACCCTTGTCTTGGTTGTAATCCTACACATATCGACTCTATCTAATTTCAAATAAAATTAATTTAATTCCATTCGCAACTTTTATGTTATGTTGCTTGATCTTGTTCGAATGTTATATTTTTTTTATGTAACATTCTAACCGTTTTATGTGCATGCTGTGTTAGCCAGTAAGTAGTTGTAAAAGTATTATTTATAATGATGTAATGAATGTATGAGTGTAAATAACTGTTGGTTAACCTAATAAATAAATAAATAAAAATAAAATAAGACTAATTGGAAAGTTATATACAACGAGACTGGTAGGAAAAGTACAAGAAATTCTGAATTTTGTTTATACATAACTGAAAGGAGACAGATTTCATAAAACGTAGATGTAGCCCAGGAGTTTGAAATTTTTTTACCAACACCCCTATCAAAACAACCAAACATTTAAAGTCATCAGAGATAGGTATCTCTGTTGCTGTCCACTATTTGTTTTACCGGTTCTCGGCAAAGTTTAAAGTTAATGCTGTCTCGGATGCTCCATCATTTTAACAAGCATTCTATCTTTCACCAACAACAATACTGTTTCACTAAAGGTCGTTGTACAACTGACACCAGTGTTATTTTAATGACTGAAATATTTGGTGCGTGGGAGAAGGCACAGGAGGCTATTGGTGTCTTTTGTGACCTCTCAAAAGCGTTTGATTGCGTTTACCACGAGACACTTTTGCTGAAATTAGATCACTACGGGATTAGAAACACCGCGCTCCGTTTAATGAAATCTTATTTAAAAGAATCATGTTAACTGTATTAACCCACAGAGCTACGGGATGAAAATGGGCGTTCCTCACGGTTCAATATTAGGTCCTTTTCTCTTTTTAGTCTATATAAATGATTTGCCATTATAGACTAATACGTCTGGGAGACTATATGAAGGCCAGTCTTGTTTAAAAATTTGATTATTATTTTTGCACTCAGGAATATGATGGAGCACCTATAAAGTAAATCAATATAAATAGCAATAAACCAAATATACTTTTTAGTTTCCAACGCCGGACAATTTATGGAGACAAAGACAAATTGTATAAAAACGAAAATATACCCATAAATAACTAAGCTTTTTCTACCCAAAATATATCTTCATAAGAAAGCTATAAATACCATAATAGTACTCAGTAGCTTCCTAAACAATTCCTATATTTTTATTTACTTTCCAATAAACTAAATACTTTTATTTAGGCTCAGACATATAAATAAAATAAACTATAACAACCATATCTTTAAGCAAATTTATTATTATAGGAATAAATAAATACAGTCACTGTTGAAACAATGATTAGGACCTGGATGACCAAGCTTTGCTCGGTGTATGCTTTAGTACATTTCTTTTTATTTAAGAAAAAAATAATGAACAAACAATGAAAAATGAAATAGAACAAAAAGATAAAATAGTAAACAAAAAATAAAAGAAACGATCGGAACACAGGTTTAAACTCAAATGTCCTGCGCAGCAGGCGTCCACTGTCCTTACGCTATTTTAACTTTATTTATGTTATGGCGAAATTTAACGTCGGATTCTAATAAGGATTTTTATTCAATGAAAGGACGGACAAAACGACCCTTTCTGAAAATATAACTTAGCTAGAACGATTCAACGCCCTCGAAATCCCCTAAACACAAAAATTCAATTAAACCGATGAAGGCGTTTCCGAGATCGTCGATACATGATGAAGATGATGGTAGACATGATTCAATAGTTTCTAAATAAATATATATAAGACCACCAAAACGTAATATCAAAAATGTCAGACATCATATCTATACTAATATTATAAAGCTGAAGAGTTTGTTTTTTGGTTGTTTGTTTGAACGCGCTAATCTCCGAAAGTACCAGTCCGATTTCAATAATTAGTTTTGTGTTGGATAGTACATTTATCGAGGAAGGTTATAGGCTACAAAACTTCACGCCACGATCATTAGGAGCCGAGCAGAGCGGGTGCAACCGCGCGTAAGTAGCTAGTTATAATATACAATTATGATCGATAAATAATAAATCCAATATTACTATTGTAACATATAAAGATATAGAGCAAGATGAGCAGAGATATTGCCTTTTGGTAAGTGATCAACAACATACATAGCCTCTTGTCTGTTGAAAGTTGCGGGTATGTCTTTGAGCCGGGAGCCGGTGTTTCAACGGATAAAAGGATAGACAACAACAACTTCAAGAGTCACAAGGTTATATTAAATAGTTCATCCTTGGAAGAACACCCTGCCTTGTGGAAATAGATGATTTTGACGTTTAATTTTGAAGATCCTTGATGAATATTTTCATCTTTTCTCTTGAAGACAACCAGCACGGTTGTTCCCTGAAAAATTATAATACACACATTAGTGAACTAGTAAATTTTACAAAGTACAACTAGTAAATATATTCCTGGGATAGTATTTCATTAGAATGAGTAATGGACTAGTTCCATTATAACACGAAAACCTTGTTTTCAAGATCCTTGACTAGAACACGTTAACTAAAAGCTAGTCAAAAGTTTGGAAACTCTAACTATAGGACAAACCAAGAATGGAGTACCACCCTTAGCAGGTTGCTGTGGTCTGAAGACAGCCACTCCCAAGTAAAAGAATGACATTCATACAATAACAGGCTCCCTTATGCGAACCACTAAGGAATGAAACCTGCGTTTCCCGACGCCTACCTATGGGTTTTTTTTAAGGGGGGAAAATCATCGTGTGACTGCTCCCGCCTGGGTGAGGCGGGAGGGAGTGTCAGACTCTTACTGACTAAAAACCACCCCGTTCCTTCTCCTGCACGTCGAGCCGGAGCCGCGGTAACCCGTTAGGTTCTCCGCGACTCCGAATCGGCATCGGCCCTATTGGGCCCCATCTGTAGTGGTCTGATGGCTCTTTAAGGCGCGCGCGGAACGCGACGCGCCGTACGCTCGGGCCTACCTATGGGTACCTATGGGTAGGCGTGCTCTATCGTTGGCCACATCATCACTTACCACCAGGCGAGTTGGTGGATAACTGTCAACCTATCTAAGTATAAAAAATCTGATTCCTGTATATTACTTGTTTTTTAATGTCGTTAATAGGATGGCGTGTGGTCACCAACTGGCCTCGTAGTATGTGATGTGTTGTACAACTATTTAAGAGATTACCTTAAATTACGATAGCCATAGACATATAATAGAAATTACATCAATACAAAGCGAGGCAGTTGTTCAAAATACGTATATTGACTTTTTAAGTGCTTAATTAAATATCAATTGATGGAACAATCTGTCACAGACCAATTTTATTTTTAAATAACGTTGCCCCACACTAGGATTATTTCCTGTGTCGTGGGTGCGTTTACAAACATACAAGTTCACATACACATGACACCCAGACCCGAAACAACAATTTGTGGATCACACGAAGTGTTGTTCCGTGCGGGAATCGAACCCGCGACACGTTGCACGGCAGCCAATTGCCCAGCCACCGCACCAACCATGCAACATGCAAAATTAAATTTTGATTGATTATAATTATTTCATATATGTGACACAGGCACTCAAAATGTAAACCATATTTTCTGAAGTAATAGTAGAAGAATTGAGACAACCAATTATTTACCTTCAGTAATATTCAATCGCAAACGGAGCTCAGGATAGAGTTGTGGTATGCACAGCTATTGGAGCTACTTAGCTGATGTATACAGGCTCATGTCTTCGTATCCGAACTCAACAGTAGCAGGCATGCAGCATTTTGTAATTTAGTGAGTGACTTCTCTGAAAATAAACAAAGTTAAGGATTAGTAATTTGAAAATTTAATAAAAGTAACATCTATTTTATTATCAGTCTATTTATTATTGATTGGATAGTTGATGGGTGGAGTTTGGTAATTTAACCAAAGTTGAGTAAAAATAATTGAAGGAAGATTGAGGGAGAGCAGGATTCTTACCTCACAAGATCTATTATCAGCCTCAAAATAGTACAGCTCTTGGGCTCCCTCAGTTGCAATGGGCCCCCTCAGTTGCAATGTGTATGAACTGTAAAAATAATGTGATTTTGTGATGTATAAAATCTATATATAAAAAAATAAAAATCAATTTCTGGTCGTTAGTCTTGTTAAATTCAATAACAGCTAAACCAATTTCACTAATTTTGCTATTTGTAGAAGTTCAGGGAAGTCTCAAACAGTAAGAAAAAATTTGAGGTGGTAAGAACTTTGCCGGCTCAGTTAGTAAAATATGGGTTTAGAAAATCGTAGCATGATGTTTTATAACCTTCCTCAATAAATGGCTATCCAACATAAAAAGAATAATTGAATATTAACCAGTACTTTTGGAAATTATGTGTTTAAAGAAACAAATTGTTCAGCTTAATAATATTAGTATTGATAACATGGTTGGGAATAGTACATACCAGATACAAATAATTCATCACCACCTAACCAGGCGCATATCTTCCACTCAACCTCCCAAATCAAGAACAGGAAGCCGCTGCAGATCATTTCCCATTTGCAGATCTGGAAATCATTAATAATTAATTATCATTAGATTATTAATAAATATCTTCATGCTTGCATAATAGAGAAAAATAAATATTGTCTGTGTGTATAACCGCTGTTATAGTTGGGCCACAACAAATGTGTGAATTCTGTCACATCAAAGGAATGTGACAATGCTGCACAACTTGCAGTGTGATTGAGAGATCTGATAAAAATCATTTATCTGTTCATTTATCATGTATCTGTGACTGTTTGCACCTTTGTAATAGCCCATCTAAAGTCAAAACCTATCGGACTGATTTTAGCAGTTCATATAAAATGACAGCTCCTACTCCTTCTAGGCTTTTGTCATGGGCACTTGTATTGTCTTGCATTGATAAGTAAATCTATAATATAGATGTGAAATGAGTAAGAACTGACTTTACAGTACGTTTATACTGTATAGATGACAACATTGTACCTATATTGACCATGTCCATACAAAAGACATACCTACATGTTAGACCAGTAGTTCTGACTGGAATGTTCTCCAGGAGTGTTGAAAATAGCAATTTTTGCCCGGATGATTTGCGATCCGAATCATTACAACCATTATGTGAGCATTAGGGATGTAAAGGATAGACCCGAGCGTAGGTACGGCGCGTCGCGTTCCTCGCGTGCCTCAAAGAGTCATTCATCAGACCACCACAGATGCACCACAGAACTTACCTGTTGCTCCGGCTCAAAGTGCAAGAGTAGGAACGGAGTGGTTTTTAGTCTTCTCCCGCCTAACCCTAGCGGGAAAGATATTGCACAAAAAATATCTTCAATTATTTTAAAAGTCCATCGCCGGTTTTCTTCTCTTGACAGTTGTAAAACAACAACAACAACAACAACAACCAGTCAAGCAGTTTATTTATTAAAACAGTAAGTTTTTACTTACGCTCTACATCAGCACTCTGAACCGACGCAATCATGATCATCATCATGATCATGAATGAGATGAGAATTTATGACATGACAAACAAACAAATTTTGTTTAAAACTAGAAAAGAAATTATAGTGTAAATATAAAAAAAATATTCACTACCATAGATACAAGTCTTTCAGTATAATTACATGCTCTGTGTCTTTCAGTACACTTTCTAACTTTAACATAACAGTGACGCTTTCAGTCGAATACATAGATAATTTGTAATATAGGAAATAAAGGAAATTGAATACTTAAACAAAAACTAAATAAACGTTATTACTACAAATAAATGAATAATCATAACTACTTCTACTTGTATACATGTTATTCTTCTTGTATACATGTTAATTATCCAAACTACATTATATTCAGATAGGCATTCTTTATGTAAGGACCTATCTAAATACTTTACATTTCTTATCTTTTATCTAATTAAATCATTAAATAAAAATATAAATTGTTAAATTATTTTTTCCACTAAGTTACAAATATATTTAACACTAAAATAACTCTTAATTGCTAAAAATCCTGTACACTGCGGGATATACCTTTTTTTCTTTTACTTTCGTTTTATTTAATAGTTTAGTTGTAGTTTTTATATAGTTATAATAAAAATTCTTAACAGATTGACTATAACTCTGTAATTGGCTTAAAATTTCTATGCCTTGTCATTATTAAACATGTACCCTTTACTGAATAAGCTGTTAAGTTTTCTGGGTAATATAAATAAACCGTTAACACATACATATTCATGGATATTTATTCGGTATTTATAAATATTGACTATTTATCCCAAAACCACGCTTATATTTATGTAGGTATAATAATAATGTCCTAATTTCTAATGCCGACCTAAGTCCAGCCCCGTTTAAAGTATAAATCGCGCAAGTGTGTTTTTGGTTTTGGCTTCACTTTTAGGTAATGTTCAATGTTGAGCCTGCTTAACTATTTTAAGTCTGTGCGAGACCCCTAGTATAAAATTAAAAATGGGACAACACAATGGACAAATGTCAAATGTCAAATCAGTCAAATGTCAATTTGTCTAGTTTGTTTTGTTTTTTTTTTCTACAGAAAAGTGAGCGAAAATCTTTTGAACTCCTCTTGTTCAACTGCAGAGAGAGCTTGCCTTTTGGCTGTGGGTGAGTGGGAGTCGGGGTTATGGCTTCTTGCTTTACCTTCGTCTAACCTAGGTACTTTTTTGTTGGACGACACCACGTTCCGCGCTGCAATTTGTTTAAGGCTTGGAGCTTCATTTTGTTCACCTCATCGTTGTCGTTGTGGTGAAGATGTCAACAGCCTTGGACACCACGGCTTGTCATGTAGCCATAGTGCGGGCCGTTTTACTCGACACGCAAGTATTAATGACATAATCCGTCGAGCTCTTGCCTCCGTTGGCGTGCCAGCTACTTTAGAACCTAATGGCTTGGTACGCGACGATGGCAAGAGACCCGACGGTATGTCATTATTCCCTTGGAAGATGGGTAGGGCTTTAGTATGGGACGCCACTTGCGTTGATACTCTGGCGCCATCGAGCGGTGAGTGTCGAGCCGGTGCTGCCGCTGCTGTTGCCGAGAACCTCAAACGGCGAAAGTATAATAGCCTGATTGGCAATTATGCTTTCGAACCGTTTGGGGTTGAAACTTTAGGGCCGTGGGGCCCAAATGCACATCTTCTTTACAAAGATATTGTAAGGAGGATGGTTGACACTTCAGGTGATCGAATGGCTGGCTACAACCTTGGGCAATAACAAAGGTTAAGCATTGCCATTCAACGTGGCAATGCTGCCAGTCTTTTGGGCACCTTACCTCACGGTAGCGATGAGGAAAGTGTTTTCTTTGATGCCTTATGATTTATTTTTATTATTTTTTTTAAGGTTTAAATATTTTAGTTTTAAATTATTTTTTTATATTTTAAGTTGTATATATTAATTATCATAATTTGTATCTTTAATTAATTCAAACTATTTTCATAAATAAATTTGTCTAATTGTCCACAGTAGGGTTATTGATATTTTTGGCTACATAAACTTAATGATTGATTGCAAATCCTATAAAAATGCATACAAATACGATTGACTTGATTTATTTCAATGACTTGGAGATGCTTTGATAATTTAGCTCACAACCCTATGAGCCCTGAGTCTCAAGTGGTTCGCGCACTGCGCAACTGGGCTCGCCATGAAGTAAGTGTTGTTTGTAAACTTATTCAGTGTTTAGCTCGGCTATGTACTATTACCTAATATACTTACGTACTTATTATATTCTTTTTGTAGATTTAAGACGATACGCCGGATTTACATGGGGCATCTCAACCAGTTATCAGCAAAACATGTAAAACATGGTAGAAATTTTATCACCAATGTCACGAAGATATTATATTGAAATGTATTGACGAGATATGATATTGTATTGACGAGCATGCATGAAAAGATTGATGACAAGATTGATGTTATTGAAGCGAAAGAGGTATGTAAGGATCGTAGTAATTGGCGTTCCTTAGTCTCTGCCTACCCCCATGGGAGTCAGGCATGAAGTTATGTATGTCTACCACAATTCCGTAATATTGCAAACTTCCTGACTGTTATTGGCGTAATTGACTGCACACATATACAGGTGACAAAATTTAATGCTGATGGTGGTCAATTATACATGAACAGACGAACAGAAAAGGGTACATCAACAAATTAATATACAGGTTTTAATAATGTATTATATATTTTAATATTTTAGCATATTTTAACATTAATATTTCGGTAACTTAATATTTCTTGCTAACAAATTTGTTATAAAATGAAAACAATGTTACAGCATTACTGTGTTTCGACAGTTAGAGGTAAAATAGGTAATCTGTAGTAGAAGATTCTGGGTGAAGCTTGGTTCCACCTTTGGCCTGACCATCAGGTGGGATATGTACAAAGAGATTAAATTTGTATGACTACTAAAGAAAACTTACTTTACAGGTGGTGTGTGATGCTGACTTTTAAAGAAAAACAGATATAAAATATGTTGCATGTGTTGCTCTTAACAACAAGGGGATGAAGCCTCTCCCTCCAGATGTATTAAGGGAAATGTTAGGAGAAGACAGTTTATTGTAACTCATTTTAGTTATAAGTTTTTATAATACATAATCATCTCAATTTTTTTCTTTTATAAAAGTAATATAAAATAGTAACAAAAAAATTAAAACAATTTTTTTCAGGTGCGTAAATCATCGAATGACTGTTGGCCCGCCTGGGTGAGGAGGGAGGGAGTGTCTGTCAGATAGTCTTACTGACTAAAAACGACCCAGTTCCGTCTCCTGCACGCCGAGCCGGAGCTCCGGTAACCTGTTTGGTTCTCTGCGATGTTCTAAGTGTATGTAATAATACTTGAATAGAGCAAAATTTCTTTAAATAATAATTTATATAAAAAAACCGTAATACTAAACAGGTTAACTGTGCCTTCTATTAAATATTTAACTTGCAATGCATTATTCATGTAGTCATTACATAAGAGTCATAAATGTGAAAACATTTTTCTTATTTTTAAATTAAATGTTTATTATACTTACATTTCAGTAATGTTGTGGAGGGCTGGAGGTTAAGACACCCGCTTCTGGTGTATGAGGGTGCAGGTTCGAAACCTACCAATGGCAAGTACCAATGTGAGTTTTTCTGAGTTATATGTACTGACTCTACTCACAAGATTAGGCATTAGACAAATGGTGAAGAAAAACATTTTTTAATCATAAGTTTGGAATCACCAACCCTCAATGAGCAAGCGTGGTGATTAATGCTCTAATCTTCTCCGTGTGAGAAGAGGCTTTGTTCAGCAGTGGGCACTTATGGGCAGTAGATGTATGATGTATTTCCGTCAGTTTTTTAAAATCTGTATTGCTTTGTACAATAACTTGGCGCTTTTCCTCACTTCTGTAAAACCAAAGAAAATTAATTGTATTGTGTCTGTACTGAATATTTTTTTTCTATTATATTCTATAATAATTTATAAAATTAATAATATAGTACCTAGATGCTTAGTAAAAACAATTTATTATGTCAAAGGTACCTTCAAAAGGTATATATTATCAAAATCCTTTATTTCTGTTTTACCAGGCTTCCCACCTTCTTGGCACTTGGCACTTGAAAATTTAGGTAAGTCGCATATTGCTGCAATTAACATGAGAAAAATATTTTATATGACATCATAAAATCACGCCTTTTATCCCCGAAAGGGTAGGCAGAGGCGCACATTACACCACTGTACAATGTAACACCTACTTTTCACTATTTATGTTATGAGTCCCATATAATAGGGGGTGAGCCTATTGCCATATACCGGGCACAATTCCAGACTTCGTGCTACCAGGTGGGTACTGAGAATTTTTTTAAACCCAGTATACTTTGCCCGACCCGGGAATCGAACCCCAGACCCCTTGCCCGCCAGACAAATTTGCGACCACTCGGCCAACGAGGCAGACATTATTTTATACTAAACTTAAAAGTATTGACCAAGCACTCCAACAAAGGTTGGTTCTAATCTGAACTGTCCTCTTTTGTACTTATTGTATCTCTAGTTACTATTGCTGAAATAAATGTATAAAAGAATTAAAGATGAATAATAATTTCTTAAACATCTGTATTGGCTTTTTATTAACCATTTACCATGCACCCCGACCGCTTTTCCCCCGATCCCGTTACAATTCCAGCTCTAGGAGCAGTGTTAGGCCTTTTAGGCCTGTTAGGCCTTCCACGGCACACAGTGGGAGAATGCCCTGCGTGGGCTGAGCACCGCCGTGCCCTCAGGGAAGTGATCGGCGATGGCGACCTCTCGCGTCCGGGCCTAGTGCAGGCCATGATGCGGAGCGAGGGGGACTGAGATGCGGTCTCCTCCTCGAAGCAGTCATGCTAGCTAAGGACGATCTCCGGCCACCGTAATCGCGGGCCTGCGGACGGCGAGCATGGGTGGCTCCCCGTCCGACCAGAAACAGACCCGAGCGTACGGCGCGTCGCGTTCCGCGCGCGCCTCAAAGAGCCATCAGACCACCACAGATGGGGCCTAATAGGGCCGACGATGCCGATTCGGAGTCGCGGAGAACCTAACGGGTAACTGGGGCTCCGGCTCTACGTGCAGGAGAAGGAACGGGGTGATTTTAGTCAGTAAGAATCTGACACTCCCTCCCGGCTCACCCAGGCGGGAGCAGTAATTCGATGATTTTCCCCCCTTAAAAAAAAGGCCTTCCACGGCTCCCATTTCCATTTATCGAAAAATCAGTACCTTGATGGGTCAATGGTACTGATTTTTCGATATTTACAATAATGTGATAAAATTTTGAAGGTGACTGACTGACATATGTCGGAGTACTGAAACGCTACTCAATTTTAAGTTGGCTACGAAAGGATTTTGATCACTTCCCACTCCCAAGGGGGTAAAATAGGGGATGAAAGTTTGTATTTTGTCAGTTTTACACCGAACGGGTTGAAATTCGACATACAGTTAGATCTTATAACGTAAGTATCTCCTAAGAAATAATTTTGAACATTTCTACTCCCCAGGGGGTAAAATAGGGGATGTTTGTATGACACTTTGTCAGTTTTCCACCGATCTGCTTGAAATTCGGCACGCAGGTAAATGTTATGACGTAGACATCCTATCACCTAAAGGTTTAAAATAGGTGATGAGAGTTTCAGAGTTTGTATAAATCAGTGAATCTTTTTGATTTACATTCGGTAAAACTATAATTTGAAACCTGTGGGCTTACTTTTGTATCCAATTCCGATCGATCGACATTGGTATTGTGAAAATTCGTAATCTTGAGTTACAACACTAGCCCCCATTGCATTCGTATTGCGTGGATATTGAATGAACTAAATGGTATTGAGTTTGGCTTTAGAGGTATATTCCGTACTCTGAATACTTTTTTAACAGCTACGATAGGGGTTGTATCGGTTTGACATTGAATAATTATTGAGATTTTATTGGATTGAAATTGCATTGACATTGAGATTGGTTTCAAGAGTAAGCACACTAAAACACAATGTACGTGTGATAGTTTTTATTATCACAGAAGTTCCACGGGAACAGGAACTATTCGTTAAAGCCCCGGGACTCTCTATCTCTTAACAACTGAACTTATTTAAGAGAGATTCGGTACAACAATTTTTATCACTAACATCTTACGGGAACGGGCGCTGTACTGGTAAAATCTCTGCGGGATTATTTATTATCTGAAACTACGATAAATTTATTTCACGATAAATATCACTTAGGCACTGAATCGATACTGATGAATTCTGCCAGATGTCATTATTCTACGCGCTTTAGCTTTAGTTTGTTTTTTTGTTTAAACGCGCTAATCTTCGGAACTAGACCAGTAGTTCCGAAGATTAGCGCGTTTGTCTGTCTTGAATAATTATTTTTGTTAATTATTAGGTATGTTTTGGCTTATTCACGTAACTGATTGACGAGGAACTTGACTAGTTTCAAGCCATGCTGGAGGCTCATATTTATTAGGTGAGAGTTTAGGTAGCAATATGACGGACGACGACGTACGTCACGCTGCAGTCAAAAGGAGATGAGCAGAGCAAGTGAAACCGCGTGGAAGTTGCTAGGTAATTAATAGATATTGCATAATGCATTTGTTCACTTATGTACGGTAACAATACAAATTTCCAAATCTGCATAGGATTCCATTAAGTATTAAAGCGTAATTATAATTTGAGTTCTGTAAAAATAATATTTTATTCAAGGAGACGGTTTTATGGAGCTTTAGTTCGACTGTTAAGTTCTTTGTTGATAAATAGTAGTACGTTATTGTGTCACAAAAAACCTGAATCTGTCATGTAGTGGAGTCATCAAAATTGCCTTACTCGTGCGGGTCGTCATTTCGCAATCCTCCCCGCCCTGAGACCGAAGAGAAGAAGGAAGAGGAGGATCGCATTCCCTGTCTAACTAAACAGTACTTATTCCTTCAGACTTTACTACGGATGGTAGTTGTTTGAATAGCTGCCTGTTTTTGCATGATGTGGATGTTAATGTTGGAATCTAACTGGGTACAATATTTGTGGATACTTTTAGCTACCATTTCGGATGCTCCTACTATGGGTACGACTTGAGCGTGTGTTTTCCTTAAACAGGTTACTTCGGGTTTCTTTAGCTAATATAACCTATGTTGTAATTTGATGGTATTGTTGTCTATTAAATATGTTTTCTTATCAGTTTTGTTATACCTAAATAATATCTGGTCTATTTTGTGTACCTAACTGTGACTTCTGTCTGAACTTTAATTTCCCACATTATTGTATTTTTATTATTACCTATTGGGTTGAATATTTAGATGTCACAGTTATAAACATTATAATACCTAGAAGAAAACACCATTGATATAAATTACGATCAAAAATCGATGAATTACATCGATTTTTAAAAAAATATATTCTTTGCACCCATAACCGTGACCATTGTCGCGGAGAACCTAACGCGGGTTACCGGGGCTCCGGCTCGGCGTGCAGGAGAAGGAACGGGGTGGCTTTTAGTCAGAAAGAGCAGACTCTTTAGAGTCAGAACTTTTTTTTTAAGGAGGGATCATTAAAAAAAATCCGTGACCATTCGTGGTGCATGACACCAAAGAGTTAAGTGCAAAGAGTATAATAAGTATAGGGGATGTTAAGTGGGACACGTGGGACATGAAACTCTTTGCCTATAATAAACTCTTTGCATGACAATAACAGTCTATAACATTGATTACTTGAACGCGTCGGTAAATAGTTATTATAGCTATGACACAGATCATTGGCTTTTTAGCCTTCTTCAATTGCACTTATTTCTTTTTACACTGTCTGCTCATAATTTGTTCTGTTCTGTTTATTTAATCATGATGACGAATGTTTAAGGAACTAGCAATATTTAAACAATGGAAACGCTCAATGAAAGTATGTTGAATGTCATATCAGCTGTGATCGAGTTTGTCTTGCGAATCGTTTTTTGTTAGAAACGTACTAGATTGGAATTTAGGTCCATGAAACTCAGAAGAAGTTTATTTAAAGAGCTGTAATTTTTTTTTATCAAATTAAGGTCAAAGAGTATAATAAGTATAGAAGGTTAACAATCACATTTTCATCATTGTGATAGACAAACTTTTTTTTATAACCTTTGCCCCACATTAGGATTTTCTCCTGTGTCGTGGCTGCGTTTACAAACATGCCTACAAGTTCACATACACATGACACCCATACCCGGAACAACAATCTGTGGATCATGCAAAGAGTTGCTCCGTGCGAGAATCGAACCCGCGCGGCAGCCAGTTTCCCAGCCACCGCACCAACTGTGCAGTTAAATTATGCCGGAAATATATTTGTGTGAACCCGTGTATCGTGGCGCGCCAGAAGCGTATCGTATAATGAACATTATACTTGCTATGGTCAGAGTTGGTAGGTCGGCAAGTGCTTATAGTTGATTGGTGACCAATTAGTGGGTAATACACAAAAATGTTAGAGTATTTAACCAAACAAAAATCAAAACGAGAGGTCCATACTAGCGCCATCTGTTGAGCAAAAATACAGTAACCCCCATTGTCTAATAAAACAATGAGGTACCTTATAATGTAAAAATATTAGTCAAACTGAATTATGAATAATTATTCATATTTTCGTCATAATTCCTAACTTCAAATTGCCATTTCAAGTTAATCTAATTCGATTAAAGTCAAAATGATAGGTTTTTCCAGTAATATGTGCCTTTCAATGAATGGTGAGCTTTACTAATGTATACTAAGGATAATCTTGCCCTAACAGGCTGCAAAGAAAACCATAATTTATTTCACATTAAAAACTTCAATTTGAATTTAGATTGTAGAATAGAATGTCATTCGTTTTTTGTACAGTTTAAACTTTGGAATCGATCCAGTAGGTGCTGAATTTAAGCTTTGAAGTGAAAGATCTATTTGTTAAGTAACTTTATCCAATTTTAGAGTAAAAAAATGCGTGAATGTATATCTATACACGGCGGACAAGCTGGTGTGCAAATTGGAAACGCTTGCTGGGAGCTGTACTGCCTAGAACATGGCATCCAGCCTGATGGGCAGATGCCCTCTGACAAGACCGTCGGTGGGGGCGATGACTCGTTCAATACATTCTTCAGCGAGACCGGTGCAGGCAAGCATGTTCCTCGAGCAGTGTTTATAGACCTCGAGCCTACCGTAGTAGATGAGGTGCGTACAGGAACTTATCGTCAATTATTTCACCCGGAACAGCTGATTACGGGTAAAGAAGATGCTGCCAACAACTACGCTCGAGGGCACTACACCATCGGCAAAGAGATAGTGGACTTGGTACTTGACAGGGTGCGGAAACTGGCAGACCAATGCACCGGTTTGCAAGGATTTCTCATTTTTCACTCTTTTGGAGGCGGTACCGGCTCCGGTTTTGCATCCCTGCTAATGGAACGACTGTCCGTTGACTATGGTAAAAAGTCTAAATTAGAATTCGCGATTTACCCTGCCCCGCAGATCTCAACTGCCGTCGTAGAACCTTACAACTCTATCTTAACAACACATACAACATTGGAACATTCCGATGCCGCCTTTATGGTAGACAACGAAGCTATCTATGATATTTGCAGGAGGAACTTGGACATTGAGAGACCTACATACACTAATCTAAATCGTCTGATCGGTCAAATTGTATCGTCTATCACTGCCTCGCTAAGGTTTGACGGTGCCCTGAACGTCGATTTAACAGAATTCCAGACAAATTTGGTACCTTACCCACGAATTCATTTTCCCCTCGTAACGTATGCTCCTGTTATCTCTGCTGAAAAAGCATACCATGAACAACTATCTGTAGCGGAGATAACTAATGCATGCTTCGAACCTGCAAATCAGATGGTGAAATGCGACCCAAGACACGGCAAATACATGGCGTGTTGCATGCTTTACCGTGGGGATGTAGTTCCAAAAGATGTGAATGCTGCTATTGGAACTATCAAGACAAAGAGAACTATTCAGTTTGTTGACTGGTGTCCGACTGGCTTCAAAGTGGGCATCAATTACCAACCTCCCACCGTGGTACCTGGTGGCGACTTAGCTAAGGTACAGCGCGCAGTCTGCATGTTGTCAAATACGACCGCCATTGCTGAAGCGTGGTCGCGTCTCAACCACAAGTTTGATCTGATGTATGCGAAGCGAGCTTTTGTCCATTGGTATGTCGGCGAAGGTATGGAAGAAGGAGAGTTCTCGGAAGCTCGTGAAGATCTGGCTGCACTTGAAAAGGATTATGAAGAAGTCGGTATGGACTCTGGAGAAGGCGAAGGAGAGGGTGGTGAAGAGTACTAATAATGAATTTATAACGATTTATTTTTAGGTCATTTTCATTTTATTAGGTCTAAAAAATGTTATGTAATTGTTTGGTCTTTTTAAGGAGAAATATACAAGTGTACTGTCGTTTGTTTTTTTAATTTACGTTAGTGCAAAAGTAAGGTAAATTACGTACCGCCATTCACTGTTATTTTTGTGAAGAAGAAATAGATCTTTTCTCGCGTGGTTTCACCCACTGCTCACCTCCCATTTTCAAATTCAACCTCAATATTGCGTTCATTTGTGTGCAATAACTGTCCATGCAAGTGTAATTGTTACATGAAGGTACAGCCAAGGTACCTACATAGAAAAGTTTCATAGCTCGGCTCCTATTGGTCGATGTTACTGTTTTTTATATTTGTTTATTATTCATTATTTATTATTAGAACCAGTGGTAGTTGAGGAGACATTAGCTCGTTCAAACAAATAAACAACAATGTCCAGTAGTAAATAGTGCACCATACAGTTGGGTGACAGCCGGGACCAATACCTATCTAAGCAACCTAATATGTCCGTAAGGATTGAGGAGCCACATCACATTTTTAAAATCTGATCTCGCCATTATTTAGCAGCAGTTTAGCTTATTTTGCAGCACGAATTCTAGATTTAGCAGCAAAATATATCACTATAGTCAGAATTTTAATTAGATTCCAGATTTGACAATAGCTACTGTCATTTTGTGAAATAATGATACCACATAAAATAGTGTAGTGATGAACACAAAAATCGATAAACAATCAGTGTGTGTGTTTTATAATAAATGTTACAGAAAGTGACAGGATAGCGATAGCGATGACGGCGACAATTTACAAAATAACTTATTACCATAATACATCTATCTGTTTTATTTGTCATGTTCCTTCATGATTGCATTTTTTTATTTATTTCACACACAATTATAAAAGAAAAGTCTCAGATCGTTAATTAATCGTCAAAACTAATTTATCGGTTTAGAAATATTTAATTTCCAAAAATACTTAGTATACGAGAGTAAAATTATAAACATGAAGAATCGATCCAGAAATATTGCATTTCCATATCGAATAATTTCGCAACGTCACTATTTAGTACTTGTCATAACGTTGCAACACTGAAATTGTCAAATCTGGAATCGAATTAAAATTCCGAGTATAGTT